TGTGTGTGTGTGTGTGTGTGTGTGTGTGTGAATGTAGGTATGGGTATGTTTAAATATATATTTACCTTTCAGCAAGGCTATAATCATTATAATTATAAAGATATGCATTTTTGTTGCTGTGTTTTTTTTATCTCTGTTTCTGTAGGTGTGCAGCCAAAGATGTCAGGTGTGTTGTCTTGTGTTTTCTCAATATACTGTATATTTCACATATCTTCTGATCTCTCTTTCACTCTTTCCCATTACATTTCACGTCTTTTTCGCCTCTTTCTTTTTCTTCTTTAAAAAAATACACTGATGATGAAGAAACTAAGAAACTAATATTCAGTTCTGCTTTCTACTGAAGTGGCTAAAAAATATAAATAAAAAAACAAGGATTGAACCTAGGACATGTGAGGCAACATAACTAACCACTAATTCATCAAACTACCAAACTTAATGTGTAGTACCAGGTGGTACAAGACAAAAAAAAGTATCATAGCCCAAAGTTTACATTTTATGTTCAGTTTGATTTTGATGGATGCTGCAAATAAAAAGAAAAGAAAAGACTGGAAAAGTTGGGTCGTATAATTAACCCTTCACAGTTAGTAAAATTACCAAACACTTCAAGGCAAATGGCAACATTAAACATGAATAAAATATATCTTTCCAGACTGGTTGGGTTCTGCAGTGAATGTCTGACTCTCTGTGCGAAGGTAACATGCGGATCTCCCAGGGCACCAATAATACCAACTGATTTGTGCGATAATGTCTTTTTCTGAGGAGTCTTTTCATTTCAGAACATCAGTCCTTTTTGTTTAAAGTGGGTGCGGTTGAAGACTGTAATATGCTGTGACATACCAAGAATAAAATGTTTAACAGCTCRTTTAGCCGCTCATTTTTCAATCCTGACTGCGCAGCTCTTTTTATTGCCGCTGATTTTCTTGGTGATTGAGTGAGATTGAGTCACTCTGTCTCCCTTTTCAGCGGGTGTGCTTTACTTGAGATCTGTCCAACATCTTTGAGCCAAACACAGAAACTTAACTTGGGACAAAAATCTCACTTAATAACTCTTAAAGCACAAAATTGCCTAATGAGGAAGAGGGCATTTAGAGGCTCTAATCAGGGAATGTTTCTTCTATATGTTTTTCTCTACTGTTTATCTTTGTAATGGTCRTTGATGGTGCATGAAGTAACACATGGGAAATTTGAATTTCTAACTGTCTGGGGGGAGAAAAAAAAGATTAGAGAACTCCAATTAGAAGCAGGAAACTTTAGAAGAAATTGAGCATTTTCAACTGACTAAAATTGTCCAAATGAAGTGAATCCCAGAACTGCTAATTAGATTTTTTTACTGAAAGGCAAATAGAAAAACCCAATGAGTTTGAATTTTCACTGTTACCTTTCACTGCAATGCAGCATAGTTTAAAGTTAAAGTTGGCTAAAATCAAAAAGGGAGGAGCTAGGATCATGTAGAAACACTGTGCTTTGGTTTGCTTATTCTCATAGCTCAGTAACGGCTTTAGATTTCCAACTATGTGACATTTTAGTAAAGTAATCTTTTCCCTACAACATTGTCTTTAAGAKAATAAATAATTTTAAATGGAGGGGTTTGTTTGTTAATCAGGCTATAGTGATTTCTGATCAGTCCCCTGGTRTAAAACATTGATAACATTATAAAACTGAAAATTTGAGCAATCATTTTTACCACCTATTACAGTAAATGCTTTCAGGATACTGTTAAAAGAGTCACTGTAGTCCAACAAAATTGACAAAATTATGATAACATTGTCCTGATGTATCTCAGTAATAGAAAAAAATCAAAAAGAAAAAATAAGTAGGTCCTCTGGATGGGTTCTTCTTTAGTAAAATGTTTCATCTCTCCTCCAAGAGACTTCTTCAGTCTGATGAGTTTCAGGTGAGCTCAGCCTTATAAGCACTGCCTCCACATGGACAAACAGGTTAGTCACATGCAAAAGAGGGCCAGCACCTAACAATAGGCTTGATTAGCTCTATTTAGTCCTCTTTTGCATGTGACTAAATAGAGCCTATTGTTAGGTGATGGCCCTCTTTTGCATGTGACTAACCTGTCTCTCCATGTGGAGGCAGTGCTTATCAGGCTGAGTTCACCTGAAACTCATCAGACTGAAGAAGTCTTGTGGAGGAGAGACGAAACGTTTTACTAAAGAAGAACCCATCCAGAGGACCTACTTATTTTTTTCTTTTTGATATGATATTTTGTTGTTTGATTTAGCCAACTATTATGTTGTYTTTGCATGTTTCTTTCCTCTGTTGTCACATTTAAAACTACTTATATGYTGAAAATTCAAAACTAAAGTTAAGCAGCAGTTTTTTTCCCCGTTTTATATAGTTTCTAGTCTGTAACAGTCTCCTGTAGCTCCATTTTCCGAAAATCTTGCTCACGTGAGCGAAGCGTCTTTGTAAGCCTGAGTATTATTCACCTAATCTCACGTTAATTACTCGACTTCATCCCATTGTCAACTTGCTTTGTGAGACACAGCTGCTGAGCTTGCACTTGTGCGAACTCGAACAACACTGACCTCAGGATTTTTCAGTCACGAACACGTGAGCTTTGAAGGAGACACAAATTCTGTCACCGCATAATTGATCATGACTGTGGCAGGCAGAGCGTGGAGCTCAGACTGCCTGTTAGACACTTCCCCTCGCTCTGTGTGCGTGTGTGTGTGTGTGTGTGTGTGTGTGCGTGTGTGTGTGTGTGATGTTCTAACGAGTTAAGCATAAAAACACTGGCGCTTGCTTTTCATTCACCAGCCGTGACGTCGCCACTCGAGTAGGGTGAGGGAGGTTTTTTGGGAGACCACTGCGAGTGGAACTCCTCGTGAGGCTGGGCTGTAACTTGAACCCCGAGGAGCAGCGAGAGAGGGAGAAACTGAGGGGGGAAGACAGTGAGTAAGGAAAGGAAGGGAGAAATGGAGGGAGGGGTGGAGGGAAGGAATGGAAAGGGAAGGTAATGTCAGCTGAGATCAGAAAGTAAACAGAGGTCCAGGCTGCAGCATGCTGTCTGCGGGACGGGGAGCACATCTGGGGAAAACCTATGGGGGCATCCGTGCAATTCCAGCGAGCAGCACCTTTATCTCAGGGAAAGAGGGCTGGCTCCTCTCACTCTCCCTCTTTATTTTTATCTCTTTGCCCTTGGGTGCAGCCTGGCCTCATGGTAAGAGCTCTGCCGTCCTTWAACTTTCCCGGCACTTGTTTGTTTTCCTTTTCATGTCTTTTGTGTCTGACGCAGCTTCTTGGCTCTTTGTTCTCAAGAAGCCGGACATCAGCATTCTGGCTCCTCCGCTCTGTTGTTTTATAGAGCAGCAACTTTTGGCAATAGTTGTAAAAACAAAAYAAGAATCAAAGTCACAAGAGGTGCAAAGATGATTTTTTATTATAATTATTTTTATTTTTAGCTAAAATAGCAAGTGAAGACCAGCTTGTGCATGCTTTGCCTTCACACCTTTTGTTAAGAGGTGAATGATGATTTGTTCTGTAAAGATTTAAGTAAAATAAATAGGTAAAAACATTTTCATTTTGAAAGAATCGACAACACAATAAAAGCTGGATGATGACAYGCATTCCTCGAAGTCAGTTGAGGTACTTGGAGTCTTAATGAGACTTTGGAGTCTTGGCACACTTTTTCCTTTTGTCTAGGAGCCCCCTCTGTAAATGTTTAAGTATGTTGTTAGATAGAATAGTGCCTGTTTATTTGAAGCATCTGAACCGCTGGAAGACACGAGTCCTGTTTGAGATTTACTCCGGCCATGGTAATGTACACACAATACACAGTAYCCAAGGCATCCAACCGTACTTCTGACCTCTGTCTGATTCCTTTCTGTGGTAAAATAATACCTTCAATTTGTAATAGTTGTGAGTGTGGTAAAGAGCTGGGCAGAGCGTGGCTGTGCACAGCTGCAGTGACTAAGACAGTTTCCTTTGGCAGATTGAACTTCTTRTGTTGTTGTCAGCTGACTCACTCCCTGCTTGTTTTCCTTCACAATCAGCTGACGGTGGGATTTCTATTGCACAACATGAATGTTTCTTTTTTTTTCTTTTAATAAAAAGAGAACACACGCTCCTGACATCTAACTTTGTAGATTGTTGACACACATGCGTACAGACTTGTTTATGTCAGTGTGCTTGATTTGGTGTCCCTCTGAGGCTTTCTGATCCATCTACGGCTTACTGTTTAGGATCTGCTGTTCTCTGACTCCTGTTGTTCTCACACACTCGCCTTGAGGTTTGTTTAGTTAAAGCCTACATGGAAAGATCTTTTTTGTAGCTAGCGTTAGAAAATAAAGATTCAGGAGACCAGATGTATGAAATGAATGTTAATGGAAGGAAGAAAGGGACACAACACTAATTTTTGGTTTCTTTGACTTAGACATTCCATCACACCATTTAGCCAAGATGACGTAGCAAAGTGATGAGGTCTTCCATTTGTCATGTGGTTTGGTTTTTAGCTTGAGGAAACATGTTTAGTCTACTAAATGATCCACTGGATCAATGTTTGGGGATCAGAATACCTCCAGACCTAAAATGATGCCTCACCCCTGGGATTTTCCCTTTTCCATGATGGCTAAATTTCTCTGACCTCAAAATACCAGACAGCTGTTGTGGGCAAAAGAAACTGTATACTCACRTACAGCGCATGTCTCATGTCTCCACTCCCAGCTGCTGTAAAAGGTTATTTTTCCTTTATAAACCAGTAGGAAATAAGTCAGCAGGAAAGTATTTAGTTAGTTGTGTCTTGGTATTTTCAACAGGAAACTCTTTTGACACAATTTATCACCTAATAATGTCAGAGTTTAGGACTCGCTGCAAAGATCGTGCAAAGCTGAAAATAAACTAARACGATGCTGTCTTTATTTTTATATTTGTGAAAGTTCATATAAAGTCCACTGTACATGGTGAAGGTTTAAGTGAAATAAATAAATACGTGAAGCTGCATGTTGAGGCCAATTTGCGGAGCTGAGAACAAAGCCTAAAAATAAAAGCGAAACAATTTCGTGGTCCTGTCAACAGGTAACTGAAACCACTTACCAGCACTTCTGAAGCTAATCGGCGTGTTATGTCTGGTTTAATGCGATCAACATGCTCCAACAGCTGTGTGGAACCATGAGTGTACTTAAAACGACATCACTGCTAACGCTTTTGTTTTAACTCATGGAAAATGTCATTAGTTCAAGGGTAAATGTGGTTGAGAGTTCACAATGGTTTAAGAAAAGACAACCTGAGTGTTATTTATGTGGGTCAGCAGCTGCAAAGCTGAGGTCTGAAAAAGAAGTGTATTTTAGTTCTGTCATTTATCTTTTCACTTTGTTTATTTCACTTTTTTTTCCCTGCAGAAACTTTTAGAAAAATAGTATGTTGGTGCCAAAGTTAACAACCAACTTTAATTATTTTTTAAGTTGTGCTTCTTGAAGTAAAACTATTACTTTTGCACACTATATATTTTAATGTTTCTTTTATCTAATTTATAAAAAAAATCATTATTTATTTTTTCTAATCAAGAAAACCCTAATTTTTATGAACTTATACAGTCAAAACATTTTTTTCTGTCAGATCCTTGCATGCGATACAGTTTTCTGTAATAGAATAGTGAAGCAATACCATGACTCAAACTGGTTTGATTTTCTGATCAGCAACACAGATATATACATACTGTACATTAATATATTAGGTGTGTTTAAAACCCCTTCTGATGCAACAAAAGACTTGAAAATAACAGACGTAAACATTAACTGAACTTTTATAAATATTGTTGTATTGTAAGTTATTTCAAGTATTTCTTTACAACATTTGGTGTAAAGTGTAAAGTGYGCACACACTTTCATGAGTCTTTCAACTTTGCAAAAGTGCTGTGGAAATCCACATAAAATAGTTGCACCTCAGACTGTAGCTACCTGAACGTGTGGAACTGAGAGCCTCACCGATGGATTTTAGTAGGTGCTAAAATTGTKTCAAAGTAAAAGAAAATAAAAATAAAAAACACGGGAAACAAACCACAAAAGATAAACAAAGTATTACTTTCAGCAAATGCTTTTCTAAGAAAAAAGATAGTAATGCAGGAAAAAAAACAAAAACAGGATGCATTCCAGCATGTGTTCAGTTCTAGGGGAGAGACCACAGAATCGTGCTCCAGAGAGAATCATTGCAGCCTTATCAGAAGAGAACGGAGGTCAGTAAACTGAATTCAGTCAGTCAGTTTAAACACTAAAGACTGCTGCCACTGATAATTTACTACCTCGAGTAAGAGCAATAAGAGAATCGTTTATGGACATTTAAACGCTAATCACAAAAGATAAATTCCACTATTGTCACTGGATTATATAAATTGAGAAAAAAAGATTATCAAAATGGGGAAAAAATCCTGTTTTTATTAAACTAGTGAGACTCTTGCGCAAACATTCATACAACAGGATAACGTCTACATCAAAGGATAAAACAGTTTGTGATGCACATAATGACATTACCAGGCCTGCTCAGTGAGCCTTTTGACACGTTCAGATTCATGTCCAGTAAATCCATGTTCATGGTTTCTGTGGTCTGTGTGTCCTCATCCAGGGAKCTCTGATCCTGCACACACCAAAGATGTCAACATCTCATAAATCATGATGCAGCTGTTTTCACGTCTTCTTATCAGCGTTTACATCTTGTAGCAACAAATGTCACTATCAGGCAGTGAAGGCAAAAATAAAAATAAACAAATTTGTTGAAAACACAATGTACACTATGTCTTTAGTTCAGTCAGAATTTTCTGTTAAATTTGATCTATCCTTTGACTTCATTAATCAGGCTGTGTTGGGCCCAAACAAGTTTCTAACTTCATTTTGATGCACATGAAAACAGACTTGACTGAGTGAAAACAAACTCTGGTCAAACACTCAGCAGCTTTGTAATTTCCTCCTCAGGTTGTGGATTTCATGTTAAAAATTGAAAAGGACAATGATTTGTATTGGAATATAAACACGCATGTCTGCAAATTATGTTTATGCATCTGCGTGCTATTCATGCTGAACTCTGTGTTCTTTTTGGTTCAGAGTGCCTTTTTGAATTATTATGTAGAACTTATTCATGTACTGTATATTGAAAAGAAAAATAAACTTTTGATGTAGATTTTGGAAACAGGGAGGCTGGAAGGACAAGTCATCTGTGGTTGACATTTTTAAACTAATTTGTAAATAAAATGTTCCTGCACTGCTGTATCGTCGTAAACCCCTCTATAAAGCTGTAATGGACCACTGTGGAAGCTGGAGAGTGGGCAAGGTGTGAAGCACCTAGTTTGGATTTAAAGAGGCAGCCTCAAAATGAGTTGATCTGAAACACCTCAGAAAAGAGGTGAAAGAGGGGCTTGTGGAGTTACAATAAGGAGGAATTCACACCAAAGCATTGCAGTTCCACTTTATATAGACCTCAACTGAATGATTTAAATGTGAAAAAGAAGGATTTAAAAGCATGTCTCCTYTAATGTGCTGAACTGTGACAACAGGACATTAGAGCTAAATCCATTCTATTATTTTCGACCATGCATTATTGACTCTGCTTCGATTGTAAAATTTTCAACACACRTATAAAAAAGCTGCCCTGACCCTCTATCACTGTGTTTACGTTTCCATCACACAAAAGTACCGGTAGGTGCGGAGTATCAAGGCGCAAAATGTACCCTTCACATTCCAAAGTGGTGCCTGGGGGTCCTAACAAAGCATGGCCTGTATGTCTGTATGTGATGAGTTGGGCGTGCTCGCATAATCCCTCTTTTTGCACTATATCTTCTTAGCTGAGCTCTCATCCCTCTGAAAATGCAGGCCATGCCCAAGCTACGAATGTTTGTGGTTTTCCCATTTGGTCAAAAGAAAATCCACAAAAATGAATTCATAAACACAAACTGTGTGCTTCTTGATTGTTTTTGGTGAAGGGGAAATTACCAAAAGAAAAAAAAAGGGGGGGGAAAGGAAACTTTGCATGATCATCAGATTGTCTCGCAAATAAAGTTTATAAGCTTTGAGTTTACATAAGTCCAACCCACAAGAGACTTTTATTGGCAGTGAGCGGGACAGAATGAGCGATGTGTAAAGAACTTGTGTATTTTGAGCCTAGTGGTCTGCAAAGTTTAACTGGCGCAATGTGACGCCATAAAAAAGACCCTGTTTGGTCACTAGCCTGCTGTAGGTTGACCCCAACATTTGACTGAAAAAAAAAGAAACAAAGTGCTGTAACTGTTCTGTGAAGCACAGGAGCTGTCCTCAGAAAACCTGCACTGAGATCAAGCCAATTACATTACACAATTTTTTTTYCGACTGCTTAATGTTAAATATATAGCTAAGAAGATAACCGAGAAGAAAGCCAGACTGCTGCTGGACCGAGACACAATTTATGATATAATTTATGTGAAAGAGCAGTGGGGTGGATTCAAGACATTCCAGGATAGCTGCGGTTCTCTCTGGTTGACCATYATCCTTCGAGAGATTTATCAGCTGTTGTTGCTTTTGTGTGTCAAACTTTTTGCTTGTTTCTCTCTCTATGGTAGAAACATAGCTGAACAAAACCCACACAAAGGCAGAGCAACACTGGTGTGCAGTTGTGGCTTTGTAAATAAAGGAGTACATGGCTGAGAAGAAACAAAGTAATAATGTTTGCTGGGCTAGGAGGATGTACACAATGTTGCAATGACATTCTGCCAAGTTTGGAGTGCTGTCTCTGTTAGTCCTCCATCTCCATCCGCCACAAGCACATTTCCACTTGTCTGTTTTAGCTTTTAAATCCTCTATTACATAATGCAACCACTCAGCCCCAAAGGTCTCTGAATCACTGGCTTTAAATTCAATTAAACAACAGATTTATTTGATTAAAATGTCACAAAGAAGCCAGTCTTTACACTTGAGTTCATACAGTACTCGCAGATTAATGACTTAAATCTGTTTTTCATGACAGAAAGTTTAACATAATTATCGTGTTTTCCAAAGCAGCAACACAAAGGGGAAGTAAACCACAGAGAGTTGAGCTGCTCTCTGGAGAACTCATCCTTAAACTGTGCCTCTGTCACTGTTATTGCTGCGCTGCTGACTCAAATGTTTTTTTTTTAATATATTTTTTTGTCTAGATTACAGGTACCTGTATAACCACTGTCCAGGTCCGGAGTGGAGCGTTATGTGCAGAGGCTGCTGTGAGTACGACGTGATCCGCTGTAAATGTCCTCTCCAGGGGACCAAAGTGGGCTATGCTGTACCCTGCTGCCGCAACGCCATCAATGAGTGCGACCCCTGCATCATCCATCCAGGTAACATAAATATGTTAAGTTTATTAAATAACACACTAACTGTGTTTCCTTCAACTTGTCTTTGAGCGTATTTTAGGTATCRCACTAGAAAATGTTGATGAAAACAACAAAATTTGAAAAAAAATCCTCAATTTCACAAAAACATTTTTGCGCTCACTTGAGGTTGTTTTTTTTCAATTTGATTTTTTGCTGCCATGTGTAACGTCAACATCTAATGTAATAACACTTGTCATTGCCTGGTTGGTTTGATGGAACCAGTAGATGGAAACATGCCTAAATCCCCCTTTTTTATTGGGATATTTTAAAAGTTTGCTCAGTATTTGCATTATTATTGGAAAGAAACATACCTACTGAATGACTTAGTGAGACATGGATCTAGTATTTCAGCTCACAAACTGAGCCCATGTTGAACATCTTCCATTCAGCTTTACGAGCGAATAATGTCCCCTGAAACTTTCAGGAGTAAAACAGTAAAACACTGTACATACCGAGCACACCATGTACAGATTCTGAGAATACATCCATCTCAAGCTTCCAAGTACATAAATGACAGCTTGCACATTGTTACTCCTGCTTTCTCACCATTTTCCTGCCGAATTATGTCATGCTTTTTCACAGCTTGAATGTGTTCATGTTCACTTTTATGAGGCACAAACAGATGTTTAGAATTAAACGGAGACATGTATGTTCCATTTTTATCGTAAAAAAATACTGTTTTCCAACCACGGTGTAAAATAACTAATCTCTCGTTACATTCGGAGACCCTTCAGTTGGTAAAATTCATACCTGTGAGGTTGCACGGTGCTGTTCACCTTCCAATGTACACAGATGCTTCTTAAGTGAAAATCCATGTTTAAAGGAAACCATTTCAATACTTTTCTATTTCAGGAAGCAGCAGTATGCTTTTTTGGTTCTGTTGTRGTGACAGCTGAGCTTAATGAGTTTAGCAGAGTTGTTGCTAAAGAAACCTTTATGGAGGCTTGTTGAAGAAAAGCAACTTAGCCTCAGGACTGGATGAAATGCTTCCATTTCTTACAAAACACTGCCAGATTTCCTGTAAACGCCACACAGAACACCATAATCATTGTCACTTTGCTTCTGGTTCGCTCTGTGTCTTTTAGGTTGCAGTATTTTTGAGAACTGCAAGCGCTGTAATAATGGGACATGGGGACCCCAGGATGATTTCTTTATTAATGGAAAATACTGTGCTGAGTGTCGTCCCGGCTGGTCTGGTGGAGACTGCATGAGTAAGTTTTTTTCATGTTACCAGTGTGTAAGAAAATTTGTGTTCARTAAACTGAAGTCRATATTAAAAACACCATTGTTAAATAAAATGATTTGTAGAAGGAATCAAACCAACAACACCAGAATTCTGGATCTGAGTGAGGTTTATTGTCACTTGAGCTGGCAGGAAASCAACACTGGCGAAAAACCAGGAAGTTCATCAATTTATACATGTTCTTCAATGCCTGCGTTCGCCCCCTACTGACCTACGGTTGAATCACAGGCATTCAGACAAAATTCTCAGCTAATGTCATCACAACGGTTGATTATGTGTTGTTATATAATTCGGACATGTAACTAATCTATATCAATCAAAACCTAATAGATTAAACATTGTCAACATTACAAAAAGGAAAACCTAAAAATATAGTGTTGCGCTTTTAACATCAGTACTAACCTCTAATAACTATAAATTTCTTCAATCCCCCTATTCACATGACCAAATCATGTGAACAAAAATAAGAAATTTATAATAAACTATATGTTCGCATTTAGGCACAAATGTATATGCAAAATACCCTAAGCGATACAGCACAACGTGGAAAATTTCGAACATCCCACCCCTGATATAAAGTAATATGATCCATTTATTCCACCCCAATCAAAAATAGAAGACATAAATTGAACTATTGTCAAATACCAACCAGGTCAGCTCTGTGCATTCTATCCAGCCAGAGGTTCCAGAACATGGCCTACCGTCGGGAACAAGTCCTCAGCACTGTTCCATCACCCCCTGTCTTCCGTGGCAGACTGACCTGGTTACTAACAACATCCCTGCATATTAAGATTTAACCTTAGCTCAAGTGACAATAAACCTCACTCAGATCCAGAATTCTGGTGTTGCATGGTTTGATTCCTTCTACAAATTGTTTTATTTAACAATGGTGTTTTTAATATCAACTTCAGTTTATTGAACATGAATTTTCTTACAAGTGAAAGAACATGAGTGTAGCATGAGGCCTTTCCTTTCCTGCTGATTTATCTTAGACTATACTGTGCCATTTTGGAAGCCTGCCATAGGCCCAGGAGGGTTTCCGCTAGCGCTGAATGACAAGTCAGTGTTAACAATTAGGAAAGCCATAAAGCAACTTATTGTGCAACACTGACTCTAACTTTCATGCAAATCCTCTACCAGGGGGCACATGATATATGTTTATTTAAAAGCAGAAGTCTATGGCTGCTGAGTGTCTCTGTGGACCCTGTGTTTATTGCTTTGTTGCTCCAATACTGACTTTGAAAACTCAAATGCATTTCCTCCTGATTTGTAGGGGAAACAATGGATCCGACTGTGGTTTTTTGAAATAAAAAAATGAAGCCACAACTGAAACTGCAGCCCAGTTACAGCTTTGCTCAACAGATTTTCTCTGTATTTTTCAGAATGTGGTGGGGTGATCCGTAAACAACAGGGCCACTTGGTTCTTGAGAGCTACCCCAACAATGCCAGGTGTGAGTGGACCATACAGGTGGACCGAACATTTACTATTGAACTCAGGTAAGCTTACAAGACTTCTTAAAATAGTCTTTTACTGCTTCTCACTTATGTCTTGTATCAAATAACAGAGATCAATAGCTTTAACACTGTAGATRTACAGTTATTGGCATTTACTGTTGTTTAGAAGACATAAAAGCAGGCATTTTGTTTTTATGACTAAATATATAATCTAAAGGAAATACCATGTTGCCAACAAGTGCAYAAATATGAATTGATGGAATAATGGCTGCTTGGTGATGATGTCATGCCTGTCATTTTTATAAGCCAAAATCACACAGCCACATTTTAATGGAGTCAAAGTTTTAGTTAGTCTTCAACGTCCATCTGTAGTAGCCATTAATGACTGGTCTGCTTTAATACAATTTCCACTGAGCTCAAGTATTTCTGCAAGAAGTATTTTGTAGACTCGTGGCAAGTTTACAGCAGGCTTTGGAAACCATAACAGGCCATTTTTCAGGAAAGTTATTGCTTTTCTGTGCTGTGATAAATTTCTCTTTCTGTTCCTTTCCTCTGTTAGGCTCACAGCATTTTACAGGCAAGCAAACGTGTGAAGTTTTGGCAGAACAAAAACTTCATACAGTTAGATTCGGGCTGAACTGCTCACAGTTTTCGCTCGCTTTGTGCTTAAAAATTGTTTGATGGCTTCAAGTTTGTTCTTTTGTTTTTTTCCCCTTCCAAAGCAGAATGTCAAACTTGACATTCATAAAACTTTAAAACTCATCAGTTTCAAAACCAAAGTATTTTGTCAGACCACATTTCATTATGCAATCTATTCTGTTTTTTTAAACATATGGCCTAAATACAAGAAAAAACACAAAATAATTGTGTCAGTAATCACTTAAACTCACTCTTCCAATGTGTACCTGAGCAATTAAAAAAAACATTTTTTCCTGCTTTTACCATAATGGCTTGCACTATTTAAACAAAACAGACAGCAAGCTTTTTTAAACTAAATTACAGCTGGCATTAATTATTGGAATCTGCTGTGGTGTAAAGCATTTATCTTATTTCTGTTATTAGAGCCTGCCTGCTCCAAAGGTCGGTAATGAATGGTAAAACGAAAAGATTTTGGAAGTGTGCCAAAATGCTGAGGTCAGTTCTGCAACAGTTTTTTTATTCACGCTGATGTAAATCCAGGATGGTTACATCTGACATCACTTTGGGTTATTCTTAATCCAGAAAGCAGTCCTGGTACAGTCCTGACGCTAACTTAACTAAAGAGCTCATTTTTCTTTCTTATTATTATATCTACAGTCTCTAAAGCCCGTTTTTATTCATCCTATGATGTTTTGGAACTAGATTGTTCCGGTAATTACTCTTGCTATTTGTTTTGAAAATTATGTTGAGCAATCAGTGTGTACATTCAGTATTCAGTGCAATGTTTTACAGGCTTAACAGCGGCTGATCTAAAATATCTACAAACWCTTTTAGATCATGAATGGATGGTGAAGCGAGGAACAGCCTCACAATATCTCAGTCTTCAAACTGAACACTAATCACTAAAAGAGGGTCATTTTGATTCAAAAGTAGCAGAAGGGTTAAAACAACTTTCTTTCCTTCTTTTTCTCTTGTTTCAGGTTTATGATGCTAAGTCTGGAATTTCATCCTTCCTGTCGCTATGACTACGTCGAAGTCCGAGATGGAGACAGCATCAACTCTCGTGTGATTGGTCGATTCTGTGGGAACAACCGACCCGCTGCACTTCAGAGCTCTAGCAACAGTTTGCACATTTTGTTTGTGTCTGATGGTTACAAGAACTTTGATGGATTTTTTGCCACTTTCCAGGAAAACTCAGGTAGGTTTACTAGAAAGAAAAATATAAGTCAAAACACTACAACTACTGACGAAGCATTTTTTCCTACCAGGGGTGTCAAACTCGTTTTCACCGAGGGCCACATGAGCGTTTAATTTGCCCTTAAAGGGATAGCAGTCATTAACTTTGATGTTTTGTGTTTAACCTCGACTAAACAGGAAACATCACATTCCTCGTTTCATTGCTACAGCTGAGCACTGCTGACAAACAATAACAGAGCTCTATGTGGTATTTCATGCATAGAAATATTGTTTTAACATTGTCCTCAAATCAAATCAACACTGAAAAGTACTGCATATATGACTGACATAATATGAATTCAATAATAGAGAAATACTACTAAATGTAAAAGTAAGTGAGTTTTAYTTACTATTGAGTTGCTGTTGAATTCTGAACTGTCCCACTTTCCAACAGGAAATTCCCATAAACAACATGCATTATTGGAGATGTAGGTTATGGTCAATGCTGGCCTTAAAGCAGCTTATTTTAAAACATCAATACTGGGCTATTCAACAAAATTTCTCAGGGGTCACAGTTACTTAAAGCCAGCTTAGGGGCAGGACAAGTATTATCTTTTACCTTTTAAATTTGTTTATTTTGTGACATTTAATATACATTTAAAGCTTTTCACTGACATAAATAATAATGTTTTAAAAACGTAACCCACATTTGTCTTGTGGCCCTTGAGTTTGACATGTGTTTTTTGCCTTTATTATAAGAACTCCAGTCTTACCGCAGTTATTTCTCAAGAGAATAATTCTCCCCTTAAATTTAAATCAAATCCTAATTGGATGAAATTGGCTTGTGCCGTTGTTTTATATGCAATAAATAAAAGGTCATGTGTGAAATTTTACTCAATGAACAGAGGCTCTATGAGGCTGTGGTCCACAACAAATGCAAACAAGAACCAAGTTTCCATGGAAGTAAACGGTCATTGCAGTTTAATAAGCATTTAACGGAGCACGACTGGCACCTACGTGTTCGAGCAAAAARCCTTTTCTCAGGGTGCCGAGTCTGTTATTAGTCTGCTGAGAAACAAAAATGTCCTCACTTACCAAAAATGTCCAAATTTTTAAGGTCACAAACTCAAAGCAAACAAACACACACCCCCACACAAAGACAAGTTACTTGCAGCCAAGCTGGCGCTCGTAAAATCCAACAGTGGCTTTTTGTGTGGAAATGTCCACACAAATATAGAAAAGGCTGCAAAAATGCTGCAGCTTTCAATACAAATGCCTCGGGRCAACTATCAATCTGATCTGCTATTAAAATCTGTGTTTCTCCTTGTCTTAGTGTCATATTCTTCATGTTTACAGCGTGCAGTTCCTCCCCATGTCTGCATGATGGGACCTGTATCCTGGACAGTTCTTACTCTTATCACTGTGCCTGTCTGGCTGGTTACACGGGCAAGAGATGTGAAAATGGTAAGTGTGTAATGGAGCTATAAGGTCTGTGCTAAAATCAAGCAAGTAAGATGTAAATACTGGGTTGGCAAACAAGTTGTACACTGTAAAAAATAACTTGTAAGATTTACTAGAGAAAATCCTGTAAACGATTTGCACTCACATTTGGTAAGTAAATTTAAATGCTACAAATTCATGTAATATTTACTCATTATTTTCTAGTAGAAGTTATGAAGAATATACAGTAGTTAAAGATTTGTGAATAAATCAGGTACATTTTACTTAATTTGGTCAATTAATTTTTTTTTCATATATGCTTCAAGCTTTTGTTGGTATAATTAATCCATCCATCCATCCATCCATCCATCCATCCATCATCCATCCATCCATCCATCCATCCATCCATCCATCCATCCAT